AATGTTTCTCAAACATGTGTCCCCATAAATTACAATGTTCCATTTGCATCAGCAGGAGTATTCAACAGTTGATCTGAAACAGCCCCAGGGAATTGCTATTTGTAGCAACAACATTGGTTGTCCACATGGAGTTGGTTGGTCCTTTAGGCCACTCTCAGCGCCTGTGCTTCACTAAGTAAGACCTGACAATCTCGAGCAATGCCTGTGCATGATTTTTTTTTTAAATAACTAAATGATGGTGCACTGGCTCAAACCCCCTCTCGAAACATCAAGAACAGTTATCCAAAAAGAAGATCAAGTCTACTCCATCTGTGAACTGCAAGTGTTGCATCAAAATATTCCTTCTCTTAGTTGAATGCTAAGGGACCTAAAACTCATGATCGGCTGTGGGGTTGATGGCCGTGGAACCTGCAAAACGTTCATTCACTCTTTCATAAATCATATTTTTAATCCTGCTTTGTGTCTAGCCACTATACTCATCAGAAAAAAAAATTGGTGATGGAACCGGTTAAGTCACTGATAATGGAACCATACAGTATGAAGTATTGTGTTACATATGCATGTTAATAAACAAACACATACACATACACACACACATAGATATACATATGCTCATATATTTCAAACTAGTCACAACACATTATATTGCATCTAGACATATGGTTCGATTATTAATATTCCGGTCTCTTGCGTGGTATGACATCATAAAACCGCATCTTGAACTTACGACCTGCGTCTGCTATTCATTGACCGTTATCGTCGCATAGCAATCTTTTATGTCAACACAAAAAAATATTATCTTCGATGGTGAATATCTTTGCTAAAATGTCCGTATAACCACTCTGAAGATGGCTCATGTGAGCCGAAAGCTTAGATCAAGGAACAGTTTAAGAAAATGTTGGACAATTTTTGTCTTTATTTTTACCCGAAATTAAAGCAACCATACAAAGTTTAGAACGGCTCATGATCAAACATAATAGACATTCGTTGTCTGTTATATTTAACAATAAATGTTTATATATATATATATATATATATATATATATATATATATATATATATATATATATATAAGTTCCATTGAAGACAACTGACAAGGCACTGCGAGTAAGATTTTTATTAAGTTTTTCTTGTATTGTATTTGTATGTCCCATAGATTCGAGTGTTTTTGTCTAATCTAAACAACAGAAAGAAAATTTAAACAAGATTTATTTTAGTAACATTGAACCTTTTCCTTTTAATATATGTCTTGCCAACTTAGGCATTGAGCCCTCATTTTATTATATATTTTAAGCTTTTTAATTATTTATAACTTTATTTTATATTTTTTTATATATATATATATATATATATATATATATATATATATATATATATATATATGACGCGTTTCATTCGTTAGGACTTCATCGGACAACCCATTTGTTTTCACTACACGCAGGAATAAGAGACGCTGGTAGTTTCAAAATGTTTTTAAAGAATTTTTAAAAATAATTTTCGCAATTTAGCCAAATTCATCTATATTCCTTTTTTTTTTCTTTCCACCATCTTTGTTTTAAAATATCCTACATTGTGATAACAGAAAATCTTCCAAGATTTGTGCGTGTGTGTGTGCGTGTGTATGTGCGTGTGTTTGCGTGCGTGTGAAATATCTTTCCTTTGAGCGCTATGTCTAACTATCTAAAAGGCGCGTGTGGTGTAATAGCGAAAATGGAAAATCAATTCGGCGAGCCGAGTTCAAATTCAACAAAGATAGTTTCCATTTCGTACTAATTCTCTTTTTTTTACAGACATGAATTCTTCTCTTCTTCTCATACCAACCTATGGGTAAAATAGCAGCAAAAGATGGGTATTATCGCTTTGGTTGGCAACTAGTCTAGAAGAAGGACACCTCTAAATTCAAAATTAGAATCTTAAAAAAATTATACAATATCTGATTTCTGAAATTTCTCGATAGAGGGTATATAAGCAAACGTACATGCACTCACCAGTATTAGCATGATACAATGCGAACATCTATCTATCTATCTATCTATCTATCTATCTATCTATCTATCTTGTTATTGAAACCATTGTAACAATAGTTATTGTTACTGCCTTCTGCGCCAAGGAGAGTTTGCACCAATAGGAAAAATATACAATTACACACACGCACACACACACACATGTATGCATGTATGTTCTGATTTTGGGCCAGATTGAATTCATGATTTTTTTTTTTGTTCTGCAATATTTAAAACCAAATATTTTCAGCGAGTGTTTTATGATTGGATTATGCGATTATCTGATGATCGAATCAAAACTGGCATTGTTTTTAAGGAAAAGATTTCAGCTAAACAATATCTGATTTCTGAAATTTCACGATAGAGGGTATATACGCAAACGTACATGCACTCACCAGTATTAGCATGATACAATGCGAACATCTATCTATCTATCTATCTATCTATCTATCTATCTATCTATCTATATCTTATATATATCTTATAACCGCTTTCGTCCATTCTCTAAATATTGTGACAGACCATCAATAATATCTACCCTGCTTCACAAATTCTTTCTTGATTGTGTTGATAAAATCAAAAGAGAAAATTATTATTATCATTATTACTTAACAAAATGATTGGCGTAACTCTTCAATTATTTTCAATATTTAGGGAAGAGTGTGATTTAAGAAAAGAAAAAAAGAATAAGAGTTTTTGACAATGTTTAACAGCATTTCGGCAGTATGTCAGTCTTCTTCAATTTGTTTAAAAACTGTATACAAGTATTAAAATATAAATAAAAAATATCTACAAAAAATTGTAAGTCTTTCTACAAACGTCGCTTGCACTGGCAACCAACGCGTCAAAACGAATGAAATGCTGTCAGCGTGAATGACGTGCAACTGAAACGTGGATAATTCCATTCACGCTGACAGCATTTCATTTGTTTTGACTTCATAATTTGAAGAAGACATATTGTCGAAATATTGTCTAACATTGTCAAACACTGTCTTTTCTTTATTTTATTTTCTTAAATCGCGCTCTTCTCATGTGTATCATTATTGCTATTATTATTAATATCATTATTATTATTGTTGTTGTTGCTGTTGTTATTGTTGTTGTTGTTCTGATCTTGCCGAGTGTTAATCCAAGTTGCTCGCTAAGATTCGGTCGCCGTTGTTATTAGCATCGTTTATAGAAGACCTTTTAATACGGCCATCATTCGTGCTTGACTGTATGGCAGGTGATGTTGAAGTAACTTAACTACCTGATTCAAGAAACATCGTTTCATTTACGCCTAACGGTGACTGTACAATTTATCGTCTGCTTTTCCCCTCTTTTCTCAACCATTTTAAACCCCCAAATCTTGAATTACGAAAACATTGAAAAATATTTGAAAGGACCTGACCTCGAGGAAACAATTTGAGGTAAAAGGGGATCCTCGTTAAATCGGAAAATAAGAAGGACCTATGATTTTTGTTTTTTATGGTCACAAAGAAATAAATAAAATTTTATGGTTCTGCAAATTGACTTCATTATTATATTTATTCATGCATGATTTTTGTGTTTTATATATGCGAGTATTTTATATACTTTAATATGTGTTACCAAAACGATTATTTTCATGGAATTGAAAAATAAAGTCTTTTTATTATTTTTCTACTTACTGACCATATTTTCTCAGTAATGCCAATAAAAAAAATCCATGGGTTGTTTTGATTTAGGAAATAGAAAACCAAATGGCTTTTATTTTCATTTAAAGAATCTGTATTGTTTTACAAATAGCTTTTATCTAACTACTTT